TATGTAATTTCCCCCACACAGCACGCAGTCTCACCCACAACCTCCCCCAGGTTGTACGTAATTTCCCCCACACAGCACGCAGTCTCACCCACAACCTCCCCCAGGTTGTATGTAATTTCCCCCACACAGCACGCAGTCTCACCCACAACCTCCCCCAGGTTGTACATAATTTCCCACACACAGCACGCAGTCTCACCCACAACCTCCCCCAGGTTGTACATAATTTCCCCCACACAGCACGCAGTCTCAGCCACAACCTCCCCCAGGTTGTACATAATTTCCCCCATAAAGCACGCAGTCTCACCCACAACTTCCCCCAGGTTGTACATAATTTCCCCCACACAGCACGCAGTCTCACCCACAACCTGCCCCAGGTTGCATGTAATTTCCCCCACACAGCACGCAGTCTCACTCACAACCTCCCCCAGGTTGCATGTAATTTCCCCCACACAGCACGCAGCCTCACCCACAACCTGCCCCAGGTTGTACATAATTTCCCCCACACAGCACGCAGCCTCACCCACAACCTCCCCCAGGTTGTACATAATTTCCCCCACACAGCACGCAGTCTCACCCACAACCTCCCCCAGGTTGATGACTTGTTATATTCAACGATGACAAACATGGGTGCGGGGCAAGTCTCAAGTTGGAACTTGGCTTAATGTTGGTTCTTTAGAGCTCATGCATGCACATGTTTACTGGTATATAAACAAAAAATGTCGTGCTATATGTACATTAAATGTACAAAGTCTTGACTGCAGAGAATGCGCCACTAAAAAATGTGGGCACAAACAGAGTGAGTGCGCAACTCACAAACATTGTGAGTTGCGAGTAGGTACATCTTACTCCTGTGAGTACATCTACAGAGTACAATGTGGGTACGTCTACTTTTTTGCAAATCAAATGCAAATGTCTATGTTTTGCACATCATGAAGCCTGTTATTACTTACTTTATTATAAACGCATCAAAAAGCTTTACCATCTAACGTAATCTATCACCGTTTTAATCAAGATTATTTTCACTATTTATCCTCACTGTATTGCTCCTTTATTTATCTTATCTTATCCGCTACCGCTTTTTTCATAAATGATATATTAATCTAGTCTCATCTACCATTCACTTCCTTCAGACTATTCAGTACACGAGGCTGCGCTCTGGAAATAAAGTCTAAATAAACCGAAATTTCGTATGCAATCCTGATTGGAGACATACAATGTCCACTCAAAGATCCTTAATAATTAATTAAGTTTGAATTCTCACCCACAACCTCCCACAGGTTGCAAGTAAGTTCCCCCACACAGCAGCAGTCTCACCCACAACCTCCCCCAGGTTGCATGTAATTTCCCCCACACAGCACGCAGTCTCACCCACAACCTCCCCCAGGTTGTACATAATTTCCCCCACACAGCACGCAGCCTCACCCACAACCTCCCCCAGGTTGTATTTAACACCCAGGATGGTACAGCTTTTGTCCCGTGGTTGCCAGAAAGCCATGGACGACTTGTCTCTCTTGACGCGGTTGCCCGAGATGTGCAGTAGCAACTCTTCGGTGAGCTGCGTAAGAGAGTGAGCGTTATAAAAGTAGAAGAATATATACATAAATGTATTTATAATTATAATGAATTATAATTCATTAATGAATTCATTAAAATTACAATGTGCAAATGTAGCGTCTCATTTAATTTATTATAATTATAATAAATTATAATTCATTAAAATTATAATGTATAATTCATTGAAGAATTATAAAGTTATTTTAGAAGTCATTAAAATTACAATAAATTATAATTCATAAAGAATTGCCAAATTATATTAAAATTCATTAAAATTATAGTGAATTATAATTCAATATAATGAATTAATTACTATTCGCATGAATAGTATTTCGGTTATAATGAATAGAATGATTCGCTACATTTAAACCATATATAAATCTACATAAATGTTTTAGGCTTTACATATTATTACACATCATTATTATTAAATGTTACGTTTAGTCCCTTGATACAGAATTAAATTCAATACAACGAAAATTATTCATTGAATTTTTATTAGGCTTTATTTATTGCTTAAAGCAAGAAGTCTTTGTCGCGAAGCCTCTGCTTCTAGAGCATCGCAGTCTCTGTTAACAACTTCACTTCCTATATCTTAATTAACACTGCCTCTGGCACTAGGATCATTGCTTATAGCGCATTGCATTCTCTAGCAACCATACAGGGCCTAAAGAGTCTTGCAGTCTCTTTTGACAGCATCTCTTTCATTGCACATCACTGTCTCTGTCACCAGGATAATTGCTTAAGTTATAGGGCATCGCAGTCTCTAGTAACAATATTACAGCCTATAGAGTCTTGCAGTCTCTTTTGACAGCATCTCTCTCATAGCACATCCCTGTCTCTGTCACCAGGATCATTGCTTACAGAGCATCGCAGTCTCTAGCAACCATATCACAGTCTATAGAGTCTTGCAGTCTCTTTTGAAGGCATCTCTGCTCGTAGCGCATCACTGTCTCAGGCACAAGTATCATTGCTTATACTCGAAGAGCATGCAGTCTCCACTACCAACGTCTCTGTAAATAAGTCATCATAGTCTCTGACGCAGAGCACAGTCTCACCTCCAAAGGGAAAGGCTCTTCAACTGGCAGAGCCATACGCGGCGCTCCGTAGCGAGCAAGCGTCGCGTTTGGGGGGAATTTCAACTCCACTGAAGAAAATCTTCGGTGTAAGTTAGAGTTGCTGTCTGGGCCCCGTGTGACGGTGGGAAGAAATACGGGTGTCTGGGCGTGAGAAGTCAGCGCTCGTCGGAAGCGAGATTTTTGCAGGGGAGCGATACGGTCGCCGAACACCGGCTCTGCCATTGACATCTTGGGCACCGCTGCTCAAATTATATTTTATTAGTATATTATATATTAGTATCTTACTATTATACAAATTAGATATGATATCATATATTGTTATAGAACATCATATCGCATTGTGCTTTAAAATATGTATAAAATTTCTCTGGTTAATGAATAGAATTCCATGTCATTAATCAGGTGAAAAAAGGTGAAAATGTTTCAATTCTGAGTAGCTATCAAAAATATAAATGCAAGTTGATAAATATTTAGAATGCAAGTGGGCATTGAATACCATTTCGCTGCAATGCCGAGGAAAAACGTGGAATTTTGGACAAGTTAGCAAGCCACAGCTGGCCTAGCCACAGCTGGCATAGCCACAGCTGGCCTAGCCGCAGCTGGCCTAGCCACAGCTGGCCTAGCCACAGCTTACATAGCCACAGCTGGCATGGCCACAGCTGGCCTAGACACAGCTGGCCTAGCCACAGCTGGCATAGCCACAGCTGACCTAGCCATATAGCTGGCATAGCCACAGCTGGCCTAGCCACAACTGGCCTAGCCACAGCTGGCATAGCCACAGATGGTCTAGCCACAGCTGGCATAGCCACAGATGGCCTAGCCACAGCTGGCCTAGNTTCTTGAGAATGGCATCTATGACGTCCATGAAGAAAATAAATATCTTAATTATTTTAACATTTATTCAAGCATTTTTTCATAACTTTTCACCATTAAATATTAGCATGAGTCTGTGATATCGTTGGCAACGAACAGAAATCAATGATAACATTGACCATTTCCCTGCACCTGAACAGCAAGTTTCACTGAAGAATAAATACATTTAAATCACATCAACATAAGCATCGGCAAACTGATGAAGCAAATAATTAACCAGCGACATTTATTCTTATTTCGTAATCCTGCAGCAGACATAATTTTTTATATCAATAATTCAAAACACACCCGTCCAACCGTCACTCGTTGTACTGCAAATTGTTCCTTAATAATAGCGTGATCAGTCAAGCGTTGAACTATAAACGCTGGCCCTGTGAAGTGTCAAGGTGCCTGCCAAGAGGTCCCTGTCTCGACCTGCCAAGAACATCGTACCTGCCAAGAGGTCCCTGACTCGACATGCCAAGAATATCGTACCTGCCAAGAGGTCCCTGCCTCGACATGCCAAGAACATCGTACCTGCCAAGAGGCCCCTGCCTCGACATGCCAAGAACATCTGCTTGATCGAGCGAGTCGAGGCAGCTTGGCAGAAAAATAGGCAGGGTTCAAATGATGACACACTTACTACTTAGCTCTGATACGCATTTTTGCCAGGCCAAAGTGGGTCAGGATGACACAGTTCATGCAAAACATGCGTCGTTTTTGGACAACGTCTCACACATTTCTCTGTGTGCAGGAGCTCGACGCGTTCATATATTAGTCTCCTCACTCCTAATTTCACTCACCCGAAATGAAGGCAGAAAATTGTGCGTTTCCGTTATTAAAAATATTACTCGATCAGTACTCACTGCAGTGAGTGACAGAGAGCGCATTTTCTCGTCGACGAAAACGTGAAGTCACGGACGGACAGACAGACGGACGGACGGACAGACACTGCCAAGAGGTCCTTGCCTTGACCTGCCAAGAACATCGTACCTGCCAAGAGGTACTGCCTCGACATGCCAAGAACATCGTACCTGCCAAGAGGTACTGCCTCGACATGCCAAGAACATCTGCTTGATCGAGATAGTCGCGATACACTCAGAAAAAAAGCAGGGTCCAAATGATGACACACATGCTACTTAGCTGTGATACACATTTTTGCTAGGCCAAAGTGGGTCAGAATGACACAGATTATGGCAAAAAGCGCATCGTTGTTTGGACAACGCCTCACACATTTCTCTGTGTGCAGGAGCTCGACGCGTTCATATATTAGTCTCCTCACTCCTGACTTAACTCATCCTCAATGAAGGCAGAAAATTGTACTTTTCAGTTATAAAAAAATATAACTCAGTACTCACTGCAGTGAGTGACAGAGAGCGCATTTTCTCGTCGACGGAAACGTGAAGTCACGGACGGACAGACAGACAGACGGACATGGCGAGCACAATAGCGCCTTTTTTCATAAATGAGGAAATGCGCTAAAATAATGACCAGAATAGCGAACTCATCAAGTGAATGTAGCGTTAGTTTACAATTATTGACTCATTTGCAGGAATAACATTTTGAAATGTTTAAAGGAAACACCTTTCGATGTTCGTAGAGTAGTGAACCGGTGGAAATTCACTGATAAAGCGATTTAATCGACGAACACAGCCTCTGTATAGCTAGATTAAAGATTAAATAATCTTTTTTACTATATCCATGAACTAGTTTCTGACATTGTGCATTTATAATAGGAGAAATGACGTAAGAAAAAGCACGCACGTGCAATTCAAAATTCAATGATCGACTTCAAAACTAGCGTTTCGTAAGATCATTACAACAACTTATTGCCAATAATTCGTATAGTGTCAGTAGTCAATGCGCGTGGCTTTCGAGTTACTACAGAAAACGAATTTATTTCTTAAGTTGACTTCAGAAATATTTAGGCTCAGACAGGCGATAAAGTGCGTTGAATTTAGTGAACTAAATCTAACAGCATTTATGTTACTGAAAGCCAAATCGAATTCACATTATTCTTGATAGACCATCTTTTTGTTTTCAAACCGTCCAGGGTACATATAGGTACTTATTTACGAGAATTGTGCTGACATTTTGTCAATTTAACCTTCACCGCAAGACTGAGGTAAACCTGATTAACCTCATGGCATGTTATAAACTCAGCATTTTTACTGGAAGATGTCACCATTATTACTGACCAATTCCAGAGTGCATGCTATAAACTCGGCATTTTCACGATGAGATCCCGTTGACCAGTTAACCGATACCAGTCCTGCAGTTGAACCTCTCGTCTGGAAGCCACACCCCAAAGACAGAGGAACATTAATGTTACTTTCACCTTCTACAACAGGTGGAAGGCAAGTCTGACCAATGCGTCGGTTTCTGGGAGAGACCGTGACCTCCGTCTCGTAAGTATACATGGTTGTGGCAAATACCTTCACCCTTCAGTGCACATTTTGTGAGAGGGAGATCTAGCTTTTTCTATTCTGCTTCAATAAGAACTACGATAGTGTAGAGGGTAGATGAGTCTCTCGTGTACTGAAATTCAAGGAATGATTCGAGAAGTGAGCTCCATGATGAATTTATAATTAAATTACTTTTTAGCACATTTTCTCATTTATGGAAAAAAGGCGCTATTAGCTTGTCATGTCCTTCCGTCCGTCCGTGACGGACGGACGGACATGATAAATGCGCTGTCTGTCACTCACTGCAGTGAGTACTGATCTAATTTGTTTTTAATGGTGAGCTTCGCCTTACAGATTTACTGACAAGCGTTCCATCAACCATTACCGACAAGCGGCCCGTAACGTGGTATGGACGGGGAAATTAAAAGGAAACTCGTAAAATTCTTGTTGAGCTGTTGTTGTTGCGCCAAAATTATGCGAACATGATGAACAATTATGTTCTTAAGAACAAAGGGTCGAGATAGAGCAGATGCCAATACACAATAGTATCCTCGTCACAACCCAACTGGCCTACTGAACACACTAACTTGAGTATGACTTGATCACTTGCTAGAGTAAAATATTGAGCGCTTCTCAGAGCCCAACCTATTAAGGACTTACCTAATTTCGAATAATCTAGGCGTTTAATATAGCTAAAGCGCTCGCACGAGCACAGGTGAGCTCTCACAAGAGCAGAAGTGAATAAGAACCACAGAAGAAAAGAGTGGTCGCGACCACAGCACGACACGAGCGGACAACAGTCGTACGCGACTGGAATCTTGATTGAGTACGAGAACAGGTTGGGCGATAGCGCACGAGAACAGGTCGAGTTATAGCGCAAAAGAACAGGCCGGGTTATAGAGCACTAGATCAGTTCGAGTGATAGAGCAAGATAACATGTCGGGTAATAGAGCAAGATAACATGTTGAGATAACATGTCGGGCGATTGAGCAAGATAACATGTCGGGCGATAGAGCAAGATAACATGTCGGGCGATAGATCAAGATAACAACATGTCAGGCGATAGAACAAGATATCATATCAGGCGATAGAGCAAGATAGCATGTCAGGCGATAGATCAAGATAACTTGTCGGGCGATAGATCAAGATAACATGTCGGGCGATAGCGCAAGATAACATGTCAGGCGATAGATCAAGATAACATGTCGGGCGATAGATCAAGATAACATGTCGGGCGATAGCGCAAGATAACATGTCGGGCGATAGATCAAGATAACATGTCAGGCGATAGATCAAGATAACATGTCAGGCGATAGATCAAGATAACATGTCGGGCGATAGCGCAAGATAACATGTCGGGCGAAAGCGGACTAGAACAGGTCAGACAATAGAGCACTAGAACAAGTCGGGAAAGCATTGGTGACCTGCGGTCAGAGTTGCGTGGGGGGAACACGGAGATCATGCAGCGTAATTTAAAACGATGACCTGAGTGCGTAGAATGCACGGCTTGTCATATAAGGTCATTAAAAATGTAAACTATGAACATCACAACAATAAAAAACAGCAGTTCATCAATTGTTTCAATTGGCAAGACCTGATAAACAGACACTTCTGAGGGCTGCTATATAATCAACAGATTGAAATTACAACAACTGATAGTCAGGCATAGTTCTTGGCTGCTGGTCAACTTATTCAAAAGACCGTTACGAATCAGTGGACAAGCTGGCTGCTGGTTCACAACGGTTCAGTTAACCCAATAAGTACAGTCAGAACCTGAACTCAATACCCATATAAATAAATCCGTAATATTCATCCTGTTCATCCTTATCCAAGGCAATCTTAATCTGAATAAAATAATAGGGAGCGCTTTGGACACCGGTAGAAGGCTTTCATCGTCACAGTTTAAAAATAATCTGGAATTGATAGACTCGTTGGTATTGCGGGTGGCTGTACAGGGTGCAAACAGGCGCCGGGGCATAACCGGTTAACGGTTCCCATAAATGGTGCTTGATCTTCTCCAGGTTATAAAAATCTTCCAGACACACAAAACATATCGCGTCAAGGGAATGATCATGAATTAAAAATTAATCTGAATACTAATCGAATTAAACTCCTTTATAATTACCTTACCAATCACTAAATAAAAATCCGTACTTTTGAACACAGTTTAATGAATATGTTTATGCATAATTATAATACGGCGGCTCGAGCATACAATTTTTTCGAGAATGCGATTCGAATACTTGGACTACTCTTGTTAAATAACCTAATAAATTGACTAAAAATTATTTAGAGACGAGAAATTAGAGATAAAAATTATTTATTGTGAATGTTACACGAGTCATCTAGTTCAGGATTAATAAGTTTAAAGTGATATGAGAACTACAGCAGTTGTGCAAATGAAACAAGTAAGCAGGTGTCACAAGTGTGCAGGTTCAGTGTGAACAGGTGGGCGCAATTATCCCCGCTCGTGTTTAACAAATGAGTTCTACTTTCATCTAATATACTGAGGCTGAAAGTTCTCAGATTCCTAAAGGTGCAGTACGTGGTAGTCTTCTGATGCTGCATTGCCTACGGCATAACGCTTCTACATGCTACTAGGCTGGTCTGGGTATAGTAACATACTACTAGGCTGGTCTTTGTCACAGTAACATGCTACAAGACTGGTCTGGTTACAGTAACACGCTACAAGGCTTGTCTGGTTACAGTAACATGCTACTAGGCTGGTCTGGTTACAGTAATATGCTACAAGGCTGGTCTGGTTACAGTAACATGCTACAAGACATGCGGCGTTACAAGCCCACAGCTGCTGCAAGGCATGCGGCGTTACAAGCCTACAGCTGCTACAAGACATGCGGTGTTACAAGCCCACAGATGTGCACGCTACAAGCCTACAGCTGCTGCAAGGCATGCAGCGTTACAAGCCCACAGATGCTACAAGACATGCAGCGTTACAAGCCCACAGCTGCTGCAAGGCATGCGGCGTAACAAGCCCCCAGATGCTGCAAGGCAACAAGGACTGCGGTTACAAGGCCCAGTTGCTGGGCTGCGACGGGTCGCCGCGGGTGGAGAAAGGAACGCTGCTTCGTGCGCGGCTTCAAACGCGGGCACCGCGTCTCATTAGCGCTCATTATCAGGGTATCTGGATGTTCTTTTCGTACCGAGAATTTAAAATCTGATACCGAGAATTTAAAAGTAAAGAAAAATTAAGCATATTCACAACATCTTCAATCATTTGCATTTCCACTTAAATATATATTTCTTTGCATTTTTTAAAATTCCTTTTATTTATGAAGATGTCGTAAATTTGCTTCCGGTTTTCTTTACTTTCAATTCTTGATCAACTTGCGATTTAAAGCAGACTAATGATATAAAAATTTTTTTGAGAGGTATATAGCAATAGCATTATGATAAGTATACGTCGATAAAAATTTTATATGTGTGTAGCGATAACAATAACATCAGTATTTATCGCTATAAAAACCTAGCTACAGAAACCTAGAAAGTGATAGTGACCTAATAGTGCAGATATTAATCGTCGCAATTGTATATGTGAAGAAGTGGTATAAATATGACTGTGCAGATAATAATTTCATCAAAATAATATTAATTAATTAAATGATGTTTGATTCATGAAATGAAGATGGTAAAAACGGCAACATACGAAAATTTCAGTAAAAAAGTCTAATAAAAATTTACGATATTTTATAACAAATTCCTACATCGATAATTGTTACAGTGCCCGTAGATTTTAAGAGCAACTCTATTTAATTATATTATAACTATCTAAAATTTAATTATGATTGACGGCAGAATTCAAGAAAATTTCCGAATAAAATCCAAGGAAATTCATAGGTTAATTTTCGATTATTGAACGATTTGTTAACGCAGCTGGCAGTTCTCTACTCTGTCCGCCCCTCGTAGCGACAGCTGGTGCAGAACAAAGCGTCACGTAGATGGCGGACATTCGATCGATTGCTCCACTTCGTTAAAACTTCGATCACGACTTCGACCTTTCGCAAGATTTTCAGATTTCGCTCGATCACGGAAGATTTCTGTTACGGAAGAATGGAAGTCAAATTGATTAATTGAGAACGAATATAAATCGAATTTGAATTCATGATTGCGATGTCTCGAGTGATCGCTGCCGAGATCTTATCTCCAATTAGAAGTTGCGCTTAAGAAACGTGAGATTCCATCAGTCTTTGCTAATTTGGCTACCAAATATTAAGATTCTTTCAAAAAAGATTAATCGTTTCGGATTTTTGATTTAACCAATTTTCTGTCGTGAATAATATAATCAAAGTTATTCCTAAATTTACTGGATGCACATCTGAAAACTCAACAATGAAATAAAATTACTAACGCGTAGTGTGGATGCCGATATCGTTTGGCTGGTTACAAGAAACGATGGAAATAAGATTTAGTTTGTTTAAATTACTTATTAACTCAGATTCAAGCAAAAATCAGACCAACACTATACTGGCACAGCCCAACATAACAGATTGCGTTCAGTTACACTCTTTATTTATACTGTGATAAGATGAACCCTGAATAGCAAAGTTCATGTACAACCTTAATTTAAGTACAGTACTTATGATTATTTATTCTCGCATATCAATAATCACCACTATTTAAAAGCAGCACAAAACCAATCGTCTTCCAATTAGAAGTGACATTCAACAGTAAGCCTCCCATTGATGCTAAGAACCACATCGGCCAGGAGAGGTGCTGCTGGATGCAGTGAAGTAACGTACGAGTGTTTTCTTCTCTTCAGAAAAAGCGGGTCATAGGAGTGGGTCACAGGAGGAGGCTATAAGCGGGTCACAGAAGGAGGCTATAAGCGGGTCACAGGAGTGGGTCACAGGAGGAGGCTATTGGCCCTACACCAGGCGCCTGCTTGACGCGTGATTAGCATGCGTGGTGAACGCTTGCATGCACTCAGACAAATATAAGGCTCATATTTTCCAGGCAGTGAATAAGTTCTTTTCACACACTACGGGCAGAGAGCGAGCGTAGCATTGATACGCCCGGCCAAAGTGGATCAGGATGACTCGCACAAGGACAAAAAGTGCATCTCTATTTGAACTTTGTCTCACTCACTCCTCTGAGTGCCATGAAAGCTGGCTTTTCTGGTGATTTTCGCATACCTGAGGAGAATTGAGTCCTGGGCAACGAAGTACATCGGTGAATAATAATTAATAAGATAACAATAACAATCAAGAACTTTCCGCAGTCCGAAAAATTTTTAAGCATCATCGATCGTGTCATTGTGCGATCTAAAGTAAAATAATTCTTAGGAAGTTTTCATTATGAACAGCAGACTTATTGATTATGCGAATCTTGGTGTCTCAAAGAAAAATTCGTACCTTAAAGAAATGAATTATTCATAAAGGTGTTCATTTATTATCCATTGATTTCTAATTATATATCAACAATACGCGGTGTGAAAGTGAAAGTTTTCCAATGCAAGGTTTTTTTTCAATGCAATGTTTTTCGATGTCACAGGAGTGGATATAATGGATTAAAATTTAAAATTAGCTTGGATGGTAAGTGGGCTAAGTGGCGAGGAAGAGGCGTTGTGGCGTTAAACTTAAACGGGAAATTTTATTCTAAAATAAACTTGCAAACTTCTACATTAAACTAGTCTACGTAGCGGGTAATCTCGTTTTCAAGTGTGTACATCGTAGAGTTAATTGCTGTTTGCCAAACCGATGCATCGATGTTG